TTTTTTGGCCAATGGGAGTTGGTGAGAATTTATTTGGCAACCCCATTGGAAAGAGTTTTTTCAAGGTTTCTGGTTTGTGGCTCAAACCAAGAGAAGTGTATTTGGCTTTATGCATTTGACACAAGGACTACATATCAATTTTATTGTCTTTTGTAGTTTGTGGTTTTGCTCTAATACTTAATCTTCATAGGGACAGGGACTGGACCTATGATTTCATTGGTTGAGGGAATCTCCATCATGAGGAAATGCTCTCTAATATTGAAGATTGCTATTAAGTTCCCCTTTCTATCAGAAATAGGGGTTGATCAAAGGCTAAGTGCCTCTTTCCAATAGGCATAAGTTAAGTAATCTAATCTTCTAAAGTTAAGTTTCCCCTTCTGACAGCTGGAAGGATGGGGGTTGACCACTAGTTTATCAACCACCAACTATAAGTTTCTCTTTCCCAGTCCCAGTTCCCTTTTTCTCCTGACCCTCTGAATCAAGTTCCCCTTTCTAGAAGCTGAGAGATCATGTCGGTTGATTGGGGGACCCCTTAGAGTATATTTCTAGTTTCAAAATATAACAGAAAAGCAAAATATAACAAAAAGACTTCTAGGTAGAATTAAGAAACTCTAACTAGTCAGGTGACTTGCCTTGTCCAATTAAATTATGTTCAAAACAAATCTCCATATGTATTCTTATTTTTTGTTATAAAAATTAGTTCTGTAAATCATTTGGAGTCTCTGACCTCAAGGCAGTCAGGTGACCTGATGTGATATGCAAATGCTGGCTTTGCAAATCAAATCATAGATGATTCAGTAACTTTGTCCTCAGTTTCCTTGTTATTTCAGTTAATTTTAAAAATTTATTTATTTTTAGTTTTCAACATTCATTTCCATAAGATTTTGAGTTCTAAATTTTCTTCCCCTCTCTCCCTTCCCCCATCCTTGAGACAGCATGCAATCTGATATAGGCTATACATATACATTCATAGCATACATATTTTCACATTAGTTATGTTGTAAAGAAGAATTAGAACCAATGGGAGAAACCACAAGAATGAACAAAAAAAGAAATACATTCAGACTCCATAGTTCTTTTTCTGGATGTGGATAGTTGTGAGGGATTGTCTGGTGTTAACTACTGCCTAGTGGAGGTTGTGGCAACATGGGACGGGAACTGGGTATTAGGAAGTAACCGGAGCTCATGCTATCGAGGCAGGGGCAGTGCTATGTGGAGCTGTGACAAGCTGGAGAAGAAACAAGGTACAAGGAAGTAGCCGGAGCACGTACTCCTGAGGCAGGGGCTGTGCCACTTGGGAGTGGGACGGCAGAGAACAAGCTCTCCCCAGTCGCCTCCTTCCTGTGACCAAACCTGACTTCCTGAGTCATGTACTTTCCCTAGGTGTAGCACTGACCCCAGACGCCTCCCCCCGGTATCTGGGCCCGACTTCCTGCATCACGTACTTTCTCCTTTGTCTATGCACTGATCCCTCACGCCTCCTTCCAAATATCTAGGCCCCACTTCCCGTGCCACGTATGCTCCCTTTGTCTGGGCACTATGCTAGACATCCCCTTCCGATATTTGATCCTCGACGAGTCACTATGGGCGGGCTGAGGAGGAGGGACGTGGAAGACTTAAAAGTACTGTAGGGATGGGGGAGGAGTCAGCTTTTGCTCCTGCTCGTGCACGTGTGCTTTCCTGCCTGGCCTTGCTGTGATGATTATTGAATAAAGTTCAGGTTTTGCACCTCCTGATCGGCTCGTCTCTGGTAAATCCGGGTGACCCCGAGGACCGGTGAGTATGACCCTGGTTGCCTGATCTGGCTGTAAGAGAGTGCGCGGTTTGGACCGGCACAGATAGTATTTTCCATCATGAGTCTTTTGGAGTTGTCTTAGATCCTTGCATTGTTGAGAAGAGCTAAGTCTATCAAAGTTAGTCATTGCACAATGTTGCTGTGACTGTGTACAATGTTCTCCTGGTTCACTTCACTCACTTCACTCAATATCAGTTTCATGTAAGTCTTTCCAGGTTTTTCTGAAGTCCACCTGCTCATCATTTCTTATGGAACAATAGTATTCCATTATACTCATATGCCACAACTTGTTCAGCCATTCCCCAATTGATGGGCATCCCCTCAATTTCCAATTCTTGGCCACCACAAAAAGAGCTGCTATAAGTATTTTTTTTGTACCTGTGGTTCCTTTTCCATACATATGATCTCTTTGGGATACAGACCTAGAAGTGGTATTGCTGGGTCAAAGGGTATGCAGTTTTATAGCCCTTTGGGCATAGTTCCAAATTGCTCTCCAGAATGGTTGGATCAGCTCACAACTCCACATTAGTGGACAATGCAACAATGCATTAGTGTTCCAATTTTCCCATATCTTCTCCAACACTTGTCATTTTCCTATTTTGTCATGTTAGCCAATCTGATAGATGTGATGTGGTACCTCCAAGTTGTTTTGATTTGCATTTCTCTAAGCAATAGTGATTTAAAGCATTTTTTCATATGACTATAGATAGCTTTAATTTCTTCATCTGAGAACTGCCTGTTCATATTCTTTGACTATTTATCAATTGGGGAATAACTTGTATTCTTATAAATTTGACTTATTTCTCTATATATTTTAGAAATGAGGCCCTTATCAGAGAGACTGGTTGTAAAAATTCCTTCCCAAGTTTCTACTTTCCTCCTAATCTTGGTTGCATTGGCTTTGTGCAAAAACTTTTCAATTTAATGTAATCGAAATTATCCATTTTGTATTTCATAATGTTCTCTCGTTTGGTTATAAATTCTTCTGTTCTCCATAAATCTGACAGGTAAACTATTCCTTGTTCTCCTAGTTTGCTTATAGTATCAGTCTTTCTATCTAAATCATATACCCATTTTGACTTTATCTTGGTATATGGTGTAAGATGCTAGTCTATACCTAGTTTCTGCCATACTGCTTTCCAGTTTTCCCAGTAGTTTTTGTCAGTGAGTTCTTATCCCAGAAGCTGGGGTCTTTAGGTTTAACAAACAGTAAATTACTGAAGTCATTGACTACTGCCTCGTGTACCTAACCTATTCCACTGATCTACCACTCTATTTTTTAACCAGTACCAAGTAGTTTTGATGATTGCTGCCTTATAATACAATTTAAGATCTGGTATGGCTAGGCCACCTTCCCTTGCATGTTTTTTTCATTAATTCCCTTGATATTCTAGACCTTCTGTTCTTCCAGATGAATTTTGTTATTATTTTTCTAGCTGTATAAAATAATTTTGGTAGTTTGCATAAATAAATTAATTTAGAATCTTTATTATTTTAATATTTTTATTATTTTATTATATTAACTTGGCCTACTCATGAGCAACTGATATTTTTCCAGTTATTTAGATTTGACTTTATTTGTGTGAAAAGCGTTTTGTAATTGTGTTCATATAGTTCCTGGGTTTGTCTTGGCAGGTCTACAGCTACAGTATCAGTTAATTAATTTTAACAGATGTTTTACACTATAATTGGGACAAATTACACAGGATAAAGGCATGGATAGGTTGTGATCTGCATTAGGGGAAAATTAATCTGCACAAGTGAGATCACAGATTAATTGAAATGCCAAAGTAAAGATAATATTAACAGCAACATTGTACATAAGCACAGGAAAGGGGCTCCTCTCTGAGTTGGTGGCTGGAGAAGGGGAGGAAGGAATTCTACATCCGGTTGCTTCCATTGTGGCAGAGGTAGGATTGTACTATTTATTAAGCAGCAACAATAATAGCTGACCCCATTTTAAAACAAAGTAGAAAACCTAAAGCGGGGGAGAGAGATGAGGGAAGGACAGTTTGCATAAATCATTTCTGCAGCTTAGAAACTTGTGTAGATATGTTCACTCTGCACTCACCAGGAAAAAGCAGACACATAACAGGAACTGGTTTTAAACATATGTTCCCTTCACTTTCAAATAAGGTCAGTTTTTAATTCTTAGATGTCTACTGAGTCTTATATTACTGTCACTTTCAGGCATGTTATTTAGCAATGCCCTTTAATCAAATAAAAGATGACGCAATAAAAAGTACATTACCCAGCAAATAATGATGTTATCTTTATTGAAATTCCAAAAACTTAAGTTACAGAACACACATAAATTCTATTCCTTCACATCCAACCACTAAGAAGAAATGTAAGGGGGAAAAAAACACTGGCTTCAGAAAAATGATTTGCTCTAGAACCATGAAAAAATTCTCAATTGAGATTAATTTCCTTAATATTTGATACTGCTGCATTTTCCATTTTTTTATTAACGAAATTGTCAACACAATTTTTGGACATTAGTTTACAATGAAGCCTTATAATCCTCAACTAAAATAATAAATTAAAATCCACATAGTATACAGTACGTGTCCAGAAACTGGCTAATTGCGGCAGGGTCTCTTAAAAATCAGAATGAGTTGTCATTTTATTTTTCAGAGGAGTTTGGAATAGTATACCCTATCATTTCTTTGGCATGGTTTTCTTTTATGTTGTCTTATCTAGAGGCCAAACATATTCATACATTTATTTTCATAGTGATTTGGGAGAAGCTCAGTGGCACATGTCAAGGAGATCACATATTCCAGGACAAGATAACCTTTGCGTACTCATCACTATAACATTAGAAGCCTTTAACAAGTGTTCCTCAAACTGAGATGCAAAGAAGTTCCAAAGGGATCCTGGACACAGGAGCCGCACAGCTCGGCAGCTTTTACTTTATGTTCTCATCTCTGCTCTTTACTTTTCCATCTTAGTTTTTCAATAGTCATCATTTACTGATCCAATACATGCATATCACTATGCTAATTTATCATTTACGATAATATATTTTATTTATGATGTTATTTATTTATTGTATCAGCTTTCCCTATTAGTGTTTCCTTTTCTGAGTGGTCAAAAGAAAGTTAGAGGGGCAGCTAGGTGGCGCAGTGGATAGAGCAACAGATCTGTAGTCAGGAGGACCCGAGTTCAAATCCAGCCTCAGACCAAACACTTGACACTTACTAGCTGTGTGACCCTGGGCAAGTCACTTAAACCCATTGCCAAAAAAAAAAAAAAGTTAGAACTGTTATACGTGACCTAACAGGCTGATGGCAAATGGAATAATTTTGCAAATTCATAAATTAAAATTCTGTTTGCAGTTTTATTGTGAGGGACAATAATTTATTAGTTTAGAAAAGAACCTACGCTTGAGAATATTGAGTAAGACTAGGTCCCGGTTACAATTTGTATGAGTCTCACAGATATAGGAAATTTAAGCACAATGGCTATAGAAGAAGTAATGACTCTAACAAAGATGGAGACTTCCATGAGGAAAGAATTGTAAAGATGACCCTGAGAACTGAATTTACTAATGTTTGTGTAGGATATGATCATCAACTTGGTCTGATGGTCAAGCCATAATATTCCCACTTCCTAATTTCCATAATTTCAATAATGTTGAATTCTGCTAAACTTTTTTCTTCCTCTTTCAGAGGACAGGAATGATAAAGAATATAGTAAGAAAAGGTAAAATTTCTGAGTAAAACCATTTGAGAACTAGTTTTAAAGTAAATGCAATGTTCTGGAAGGTTAATTTGGAAATCAGTGATACCTATATGAATGTGTAGTTAGTCTGATTAGCTCTTTCACCCAGAAAGGGTGAAGGATATGTAGGTACACCCAGAGTGATTGATGAATAACTGAGTGTAGGTCCTGACTCCAAAGGAATCATGACAATCTCTGGGTTTTAGTTTGTTTGACCTACTCATGTTTGGAGTATTCAAAGGCAGCTAGAGTTTGCTAGCCCTAGTGCAGCTAGCCCCCTTTGTTCTAGATTGCCCACAGCTGTTAGAGTGCTATTGGGTTTTATGCTGGGACAGAAAGACAGCTTCCTGGACACTGCCTACCACCTGTGGCTTAGCCATCTACATATCTGGCTTCATTTCCCCAAACTAGGACAAAGTGAGAAACCAGGAATTAAAACAGAAGGCATACAGGTCTTGTACCCTTTCTGTATGAGTACATCTACTAAGCTGGTTTGTAATACCATCAGTAAAGAGCATAGTTAAATCAAGTTAGTGTGAGGCTTTTTCTGTTTCTTTAATTCCCCAAATCTGAATACCTATGTGAATCACCACTTATGTGCAATGAGGCAATACCTTCTCAGGTATTCTCAGGTCCAACCCCATCAATTTCCTTGGGAGGAAGCTAGAACCTAGAGAGGTAAAGTGACTTGCCCCAAATCACATACCCAGGAAGCATGTGCCAGGACGAGGACCTGGGCTCTCCTCACCATTATTCTCGTGTTTTTTGTCCCCATTACTCTATGCTGCCCAAAGGTTAAGTGATTTAATCTCTGTGGCAGTCCAAGCTTCTCACACGACTGAACATGGCACTTAAGCAGAACACGAATCTCTTTGTTTTTCCAGAACATGAATCTTCAACATGATACATAAAAGGCCAAAACAATTTTAACCCAGCAGGTGATACACAGGAGACAATGGATACAAATGGATTTGGCACATGCATTGGTTCATACTCTCACAGCCAGTGTAAAAGCAGCAGGGAGTACCAACAAGCAAGCAAAATCTTCACAGAAAAAATTTATCTAGAAAGTCTTTGTCAGTCCCCAAAACTGAAATTTTCACAGAAAAGACTAACATTACTGCCCAGTAAACTCCACTGTAAAGAATACATCTTTGTTACAAACATCTCCGCCCACTCCCACCTTTTCTTTTTGCCAGACCTGTTGAGTTCATTGGTGTAGTGTAGGGAATCCTAAGGGAGGAAACTGCATTTATTAGTGCTCATCAGCAACTTAAAGAGTCTGAAAAAGTAGCCAAGGACATTGAGAGGTTAAATGAGTTGCCTAGGGTCACATACTGAATGTCAAAAGGAGGACTTGAATCCAGGTCTTTCTGACTGAGACTGGCTCTCTACTGCCAATAACATTCTATCTTTCTTATCACCTACTTTTAATAAATAATGCACTGGTGTATCTTTATTGGACAAAGACATTTCTTGCTAAAAAGTCAAGTTACGTTCTTACTCTTGACTCCCTATTTATTTGCTTTTTATCTGTTGTCATTTAAAACACTGGGTAATTTAGAGGACTTCATAATGGAATATTTAATCAGCAAAAACTCTTGAAACTGTATAATTTTTGTATGTGCTAAATTAGAAAATAATTTATTGCTGGAAGTTCTGTTTCTTGATCAGAAAAATACCCAAGGAATGGGATAAATGCTAAATAATGAAAAGAGGGCAGAACTGTGTTAGAATTATCTGTTTTCAGAAGGCAAAGAATAAATACCCAACATTAACTTATATTTAAAACGGATGAAAAGTAGTGGCTTTCTGGTTATCTACAGTAATAAATATTTATAAAAGTCAGCATTTCCATAACAATAACAGAATCTACTTTTCATTAAAGTTTCTTGTTTTATTTTTTATAGCCTTTAAGTTCTCATTTTGTAATGATTTAAGATTCAATTGAATCTAACTATAGACTACATTAAATCTTAAATGTAGTGACCTCAATATAAAATATAAGCACAGCAAACTATTATTTGATGATCTTAGTACAACTGCGAATACAAAATCTCTCATGAATAGCTATCAAAATAAGAATATGATGTGTGTAGTGTTGTACTTGCTGAGAATGTTATGAGCAAACAGTGCTAAAGCCATGTCAAACTTACAAAAAAATAAATCAAGATGGAGTAAGTGCACCATGATTGTGATCCTGATAGTTCCTTAAACAATGCTATTCCATCAGAGATTTGCTACTGTGACAAAAAGTATAAAACCTTTTAAAGCATGAACCACACAAACCAGGAGGATAATCATATTTTTCATGCTCTGTAATCACATTCCATCCTTCAATTTTCATCTTCTATGTAAATTGAAAGATTTTTTAAAAAATGTCTTTCATAAACAAGGCTTACAAGTTACCAAGCAGGGAAAAGCATTTCTTTTTCTTTATCTCATAAGTTTCAGAAAATACTTGTGATTTGATTCTTTTTTCTCCTACAAATGACTACTTAGCAAGAATAAATCCTTTTGTGATTAATTTGTCCTACATATTCCAGTTAATGAAAGTTTGGGATCCAGCCAGGTATAGGGTTTGGAAAAAGTCTGGGGACCCTGGAAGTCCTATCAGCTTCTACAAGAGGAGGCAGATGATCCGAGTAAGGAAGGGCTAGCTTCAGACTTTGCAAACTGTCTTAAGACTCCCCGATAGGAGCAAAGGAAACACAGAGAAGTCCCCAGGTACAGAAGAAGCGGCGACAGACTCCAGAGAGGGAAGAATGACCAGAGAAGCTGGCAGAGTGTAACTGCAATCACTGTGCTAACCAGCAATCACACTGCCAAAGGTGTCCAACAAATGAAGAGTCAATGATGGCCTGGACTTTTCCACTCAATCATTCTTCAAGTTGCCAAAGTTTAGGCCTTTTAGACTGCCTTGAAATTCTCTCCAGCAAAGGCCAACCTGTACTTAGAAGAAAATAGTTCAAGGAAAAGTGGATAGAGCTATACTTCCTCATCTCTGTTTCAGAGAAGAGAGAAAACATACATTATTGACTTCCTGCACACACAGAGAAGACGACAGCTTTCATCAAAAGTACAATAACCTCTTATTTGGCATAGTTGGATATGGGAATATTGTTATTAACTGAATATTCAGGTTAACTAAGAGTCTTAAAAATAGACTAAAATAAATATAATTCAGAAGGCATTTCAGGATTTTATTGGGAAGTTGTAATTATTATCATTATCAATAATAATTGTAAAGAACTATAAAAGAAATTATATATTATATATATGCTTTTTGATTGCTTGAATTTTGGACAAATAGGAGTTCACTGCATTTTTTTTAGCTGATTAATAGTAAATAATTAATAAAAATAAAATCATAATCCTTTACATTCTTTACAATGTATGTGCTAATATCCACTCTGATAGTTTGGGGAAGATATTTCTTTCTTCTTGATTAACTTTTAAGGTATTTATTATTAAAAGTCTTCCTGTTCCCACAGACAGGATAACAGCCAAGCATGGAATAGCCTATCTCCTAAACAGAAAAAAAAAAAAGTCTGGCTTGAAAGGTTTCTGGATGAGGTAGGGTATAACAAAAGAAGGTTAAAAAGGTACATTAATTTCTAGATCTTTTGATTTTCTTTGAAATTGTTGAGGCTGAATGGTACAGTTTCACCAAAGTAAATAATTTTAATATACTGTTACTAATAAAGAATGGACACTTGTTATAATATAAGATTGAAAAAAATGTAAAAAAAAGTGTTTTTAAAATATGTTCTCCTAGTTTTCATCTTATAATGCATTTTCACAGTTAAACAAAGAGTAGAAGTTTTGCGATCCTATCACCACTACTTGAAACCAGATGCCACATAAGTTGAATTTAGACTTATAGTTGGACCTTGTGTAGCATTAGGCAATAATGTAGTAGCAGGATAAATAATTTCTTCAATAGATACATATGTGCCTATTAAGAAACCAGCAATTCCAATGACTAATATCAAGATATCTTTGAGAATCATCCACAGGCTGAAACTTTCCTTGTAAAATATAAGAATTTCAACTAAAGGTGGCAGAATGAGTGCCAATGTACTACTGCTCACAGCTCCAACGAGGGAAATCACTATATCCAAACGAGGAATCAGGATTGCTACGAGACCTGTGAAGAAGAGAACAGAAAATATAGGCATGAATGAATTAACATCAAAACAGATATTTTCAGTTCAGTAAGAAAAAAACCAATATTAAGTAGGGCTTCTTGAAAAAAGATATTAAATTAAACCAGAATGTGGATTTCACCAAAATGGCTACGCTGTTAACCTTAGGGGGAGAAAAGGGCTTTAATATTTTATTTTGAAGCTCTAAGTGAAAGACAATAAAAATGTGATCTACATCTCTTCAATTAGAGCAGCAATGACTTTTTTTTTACAACCATAAGGAATCACAGGTAGCTAGCTCTTCTTATTTTATAGATGGGGAAAGATAAGGCTTAGACCAATAAAACACTTTGTCCAAAGTCACTATGGAGGAACCAGAACGAGGCCCCAAAGTTACAGACTCTGAATCCAGTACCTTTCTATTATGCTACATTGCTCTTTATATTTAAACAAAAATCAATTTTCTTGGGGAAGAGGATGGTAGACATTGCTGTTTCCTAGGAATCCTTACTCTTAGCCTAGAACTGGGGTTATTAGCCTTTTTGTATGCTATAAATCCCTTTGGCAGTCTGGTAAAGCCTATGGAGTCCTCAGAATAATGTTCTTAAATGCATAAAATAAAATACAGAGGAGTACATAGGAAGCCAATTATACTGAAATACACATCAAAATATATATTTTTTAAAAGTTCACAAAATTAGGGTTAAGAACTCTTGGAGGGGCAGCTAGCTGGCACAGTGGCTATAGCATCAGCCCTGGATTCAGGAGAACCTGAGTTCAAATCTGGCCTCAGACCCATAATACTTCATAGCTGTGTGACCCTGGGCAAGTCACTTAATCCCACTGCCTGGCCAAAAAAAAGAAAAAAATCTTGGAATAGAGGCTTATACAATGTAGCAGAAAGAACAGAGCAATCTGGGTTGGGACACTGGCTCTGACACTGTGTAAGCACAGTCAATCAATCAACAAACATTTATTCAGTGCCGACAATTATGTCAGGTACTATGCCAGTCCTCTGGAGATTCAAAGACAAAAATAAACAATCACTACTCTCAAATTCCTTAGCCCAAGTTCCAATTTCTTCATTTTTAATATGGAGATAATAGTAGTGTCACTTAAGTCTCTGGGTCATTATGACAAAAATGCTTTAAAAATCATAACATATCATATAAATATAAGGCACTGTTTGTTACATCATTCCTTCTTACTCTATTCTACACATCTGGTTCAGGTGAGTGAACATAGAAGTCTGCAAGAAACCTCCAGCCTCAAGAACTGGTATTTATTTTGCTTTCTTTGAGATCATGATGCATCCCTGCCTTTTTTTTTTTTTTTAAACTTCAGCTGAAGCATAAGAGATTCTGCTCCAACCCCTTACCTTTACTCTGTGTGCCTCTCTGCTTCAAGTGTGTTTCTTGTAAACAAGATATTGTAGGATTCTGTTTTTTAATCCACTCTGCTATATACTTCTATTTTATGGGTGAATTTCATCCTATTCACATTCATAGTTATAATTACTGTGTTATTTCCCTCCTTTCACTCTATCCCTCTTCATAAGTGTTTTGCTTCTGACGACTGCCTCTCCCAGTCAACCCTCCTTTCTTTCAGCACCCCCTACTTTTCTTATCCCCTTCCTCCTACTTCTCTGTAGGTTAAGATAGATTTTTATGCCCAATTGAGTGTGTACATTATTTCCTCTTTGAGCCAATTCTGATCAGAGTAGGGATCAAGTGTTGCCTGCCTTCCTCTTCCCCAATTCCCCCTCCACTACGAAAGCTCTTTAATGCCTCTTTTATGTGAGATAATTCTACCTCTCCCCTTCTCCAAGTGCATCCCTCTTTCTCATTCCTTAATTTAATTTTTTGAGGATATCATCCCAACATGGTCAACTCACACCCTTGCCTTCTATGTATATTCTTTCTAACTGCCTTAATAAAGATAAAGTTCTTAGGAGTTACAAATATCATCTTCCAATGTTGGAACGTAAGCAGTTTAACCCTGTTAATCCCTTATGATTTCTCTTTCTTGTTTACCTTTTTATGCTTCTCTTGAGTCTTGTATTTGAAATTCAAATTTTGTATTCAGCTCTGGTCTTTTCATCAGGAATGCTCAAAAGTCCTCTATTTCATTAAATATCCATTTCTTCCCCTGAACGACGATACTCAGTTTTGCTAGATAGGTGATTCTTGGTTATAATCCTACCTCCTTTGTTCTCCAGAATATCATATTCCAAGACCTCCAATCCGTTAATATAGAAGTTGCAAAATCTTAAGCCATCGTGACTGTGGCTTCATGATATTTGAATGGTTTCTTTCTGCTGCTTGCAATATTTTCTCCTTGACCTGTGAGTGCTTGAATTTGCCTATAATAGTTCTGGGAGTTTTCATTTTTGCATCTCTTTCAGGAGGTGATTGGTGGATTCTTTCAATTTCTGTTACACCCCCTTGTTCTAGGACACCGGGTCAGTTTTCCTTGATAATTTTTTGAAATATGATGTCTAGGCTCTTCTTTTTATCATAGTTTTTGAAAGTCCAAGAATTCTTAAATTCTCTCTTCTAAATCTGTTTTTCTAGGTTATGTTCTTTTCCATTTGACCAATTCTACTTTTTAAGGAGTTCTCTTTGTGAATTTTTGTACATCTTTTTCCATTTGGCCCATTCTGCTGTTGAAGGCATAAATTCTTTTCTTCAGTGAATTTTTGTGCATTTTTTTTTCCCAATTTGGTCAATTCTACTTTTTAAGGAGTTCTTGTCAGAGGATTTTGTACCTGTTTTTACCATTCAGACTATTCTTTATTTAATGTATTATTTTCTTGTGTAATTTTTTGTACCTCCTTTACCATGCTGTTGACTTTTTTCATGATTTTGTTATCACTCTCATTCCTTTTGCCATTTTTTCCTCTACCTTTCTTATTTGGTTTTAAATCCCCTTTTTAGCTCTTCTAGGAATTCTTTTTTGGTCTCGAGACCTATTCATGATTTTCTTTGGGGTTCTGCATATAGCTGCCTTGATTTCATTGTCTTCTGGGTTTGTGTCTTGATCTTTGATGTTACCCTAGTAATTTTTTTTTAACATGGACCAATTTTAAATTTATTTATTTTTGGTTTTCAACATTCACTTCCCCAAGATTTTGAGTTACAAATTTTCTCCCCATCTTGTCCCTCCCCCCACCCCAAGATGGCATGCATTCTGTATACAGCTTCCCCTAATCTGCCCTCCCTTCTATCTCTCCCCCCTTCTCTTATCCCTTACCCCTTCTATTTTCCTGTAGGGCAGGATATATGTCAGTACCCCATTTTCTGTATTTCTTATTTCCCAGTTGCATGTGAAAACAATTTTTTTTAAACATGTGTTTTTAAAACTTTGGGTTACAAATTTTCTCCCTTCCTCCCTCCCTACCCACCCTCATTGAAAAGGCAAGCAACTCGATACAGATTATACATGTACAGTCATGCAAAAACTTCCATTGTAGTCATGTTGTGAAAAACTAAGTATATTTCCCTTCATCCTATCTGCCCCCCCATTTATTCTATTCTCTCTTTTGACCCTGTCCCTCCTCAGAAGTGTTTGCTTCTGATTATTCCCCTCAATCTGCCCTCCCCTCTGTCATCCCCCTGCTCTCTTGTCCCCTTCTCCCCTTATTTTCCTGTAAAGTAAGGTAGATTCTATACCCAATTGTGTATGTTATTCCCTCCTTAAGCCAAATCCTCTGAGAATAAGATTCACTCATTCCTTCTCACCTTTCCCCATTTCCCCTCTACTATATAAGGCTTTTCTTGTCTGTTTCATGTGAGATAATTTACCCCATTCTACCTTTCCCTTTCTCCTTCTTCCAGTATAATCCTCTCTCATGCCTTAATTTTATTTTCCAGATATCACCCCTTCATCTTCAACTCAACCTGGACCCTCTATCTATCTATCTATCTATCTATACACACATACATATAATTTTTCCCTCCCACTACCCTAATACTGACAAAGGACTCATGAGTTACAAATATCTTCTCTCCATGCAGGAATGTAAACAGTTCAACCTTAATAAGTCTGTTATGATTTCTCTTTCCTGCTTACCTCTTCATGTTTCACTTGAGTCTTACATTTGAAAGTCAAATTTTCTAATCAGCTCTGGTTTTTTCATCAAGAATGCTTGAAAGTCTCCTATTTCACTGAATGACCATTTTTTCTCCTGAAGGATTATACTCATTTTTGCTGGGTAGGTGATTCTTCGTTGTAATCCTATCTCCTTTGCCCTCTGGAATATTATATTCCATGCCCTCTGGTCCCTTAATGTAAAAGCGGCTAAATCTTGTGTTATCCTAATTGTGTTTCCACAATACTTGAATTGTTTCTTTCTGGCTGCTTGTAATATTTTCTCCTTGACCTGGGAACTCTGGAATTTGGCTACAGTATTCCTAGGAGTTTTCCTTTGGGAATCTCTTTCAGGAGGTTATCAGTGGATTCTTTCAATTTCTATTTTGCTCCCTGGTGCTAAAATATCAGGGCCATTTTCCTTGATCATTTCTTGAAAGATGATGTCTAGGCTCTTTTTTTGATCATGGCTTTCAGAGAGTTCAATAATTTTTAAATTCTCTCTCCTGGATCTATTTTCCAGGTCAGTTGTTTTTCCAATGAGATATTTCACATTGTCTTCTATTTTTTCATTCTTTTGGATTTGTTTTACAGTGACTTGATTTCTCATAAAGTCACTAGCTTCCAATTGCTCCATTCTAATTTTTAAGGAAGCATTTTCTTCAGTAAGCTTTGGGACTTCCTTTTCCATTTGGCAAATTTTGCTTTTGAGGACATTCTTCTCCTCATTGGCTTTTTAGACCTCAACCTCATAGGTTGAGAAGTCTGGAATCCACCACAGCTGCCTGCGATTCAGTCCTCTGAGACCTGCTCCAGGTTCACTGAGGCCTGCCCTGCCAACGCACCCACGCCGAACTGCGCTCATCTCCCAGCCCGGCACGATATACTTTTCCAATCAACCATCCAGGCTGTC